GGCGCAGGAGCAGCCGGGGCAGGAGCAGCAGCCGGGGCAGGATCAGCAGCCGGGGCAGGATCAGCAGCCGGGGCAGGATCAGCTGGGGCAGGATCAGCTGGGGCAGGATCAGCAGCCGGGCAGGATCAGCAGCCGGGCAGGATCAGCCAGGGCAGGATCAGCCAGGGCAGGATCAGCAGCTGGGGCAGGATCAGCTGGGGCAGGATCAGCCGGGGGAGCCAGCCGTGGGAGGGGTTCCTGATGGGTTAAACCTGCTTCGCTTGCTGTGGCTGCTCCTCGGTGAAAGCCTGGCCAGGTCACCTCTGTCCTGTCACCTCTGTCTGTGCTCATCACCTCTGTCTGTGCTGGTCACCTCTGTCTGTCTGTCACCCCTGTCTGTCTGTCACCCCTGTCTGTGCTGTCACCCCTGTCTGTCTGTCACCCCTGTCTGTCTGTCACCCCTGTCCGTCTGTCCGGGGCTGAGGAGGGGGCCGGGGCGGCGCAGGGCAGGGCTCAGCAGCACTGAGACCCCCGGCCTGCGCTCTGCTCCCGGGTTTTGGCTCCGGGGCTGTTTGGCTTTGCCCGGCAGGGACCCCACACCCCTCGCTGGCCTCTTGGGGTTTTGGTTGTGCCGAAATGGGAGCGGCTGGTTCAGCATGCTGCTGCTGCTGCTGCTGCGTGCCTTTCATCCCCAGAGAGCTCAGTCGCCAAGGAGAGATCTTGGGCAGATGTTCTGCAGCTCTCCACCTGCGGCGCAGGACACGGACAGCCCGAAATGTTCGGAACAGAACAATACCTGATGATTTTATTGCAGGAAATCACTGCATGCACATCAGGAGGAGTCAGAGGCAGTAAAAGCTGAAAAGGCATTCATCCCCTCCACCGAGCAGCTCCCAAAAGGGCGCTCTTGCAGCTGTGGAACGAGACAATCTTATTCTTAGTTTTTAATGTGCTGTTAAATTAACTTGTGTGCTTTTATGAGAAGGCATAAAAGGCAGCACACAATGGGCTGGGACACGCTCAGCAGCACCAGCAGCAGCAGGGACAGCAGGGACAGCAGGGACAGCAGCAGCAGCAGCAGGGACAGCAGCAGCAGCAGGGACAGCAGCAGGGACAGCAGGGACAGCAGCAGGGACAGCAGCAGCAGCAGGGACAGCAGCAGGG